TCATCAATAATGTAATTTCCAATTATTAATGCAATTTTTAGCTTTTAATTAAATTAACCCTTAGTTTTTCGATTATCTCTTTGTTGAAAACAATTACAAATATTGGAAACAACTTGAGTATTTTTGAAAATAATTCGAGTACAAAAAATCCCCGAAATAAGTCAAAACCTTCGTAGTTAATAGCAGTTTTGAAACGGTGAAGACTTGACTCCATCGCGGCGTGATATTCCCATCGCAGCGCGATAGGGCTGATGCAGCGCGATTGTGTTATTGCGACGCGTTGGTTTCTAATTTGTTGCGATGCTTGATTTTTGTGATGCTGAGTTGAAGTATTGTCGTAAAAAGGCGGGATTTTGAAAAATTAAAGTGGCCGCACCCTTTAAAAGGGTTGCCTACGTATCCTTGTTAAGGAATCAGGCCAAACGTAGCTCTCTTGAGTAAAGAATTTAATTAGATCATGGGTAGAACTTCTTGAGTTAGTCAAGATTTGTCAAGTGTGAAAATTCGTGACCATCCATATCTGTTAACTTAGCTGCTCCTCCATATAGGATAGTTTTGACAATATATGGTCCAGGCCAATTAGGCCTAAACTTGCCTCTTAGGTCTAGAATATTCTTTGTAAGTGCTTTTAACACCAGGTCTCCTTCCTTGATGTCTCTTGTCTAGACCTTTTTGTTGAAGTATCTAGCCATGCGAGTTTGGTATCATTGGGCATGATGTAAGGCTTCTAGTCGCTTTTCATTGAGTAGAATTAGCTATTCTTATCGTGCCCTTGTCCATTCGACCTCAACAAGCTTGCTTTCCAGTGCTATGTGCAAAGAAGGTATTTCTAGCTCTGCAGGTTGTATGGCGTCCATTCCGTAAACTAAGGAGAACGACGTGGTTCATGTGGATGATTGGATTGACGTGCGATAACCCCAAAGAGCAAAGTGGAGCTTGTCAGGCTAATCCTTGTAGTTTTTTATCATCTTTTCGATGATTGTTTTTAAATTATTATTGGCTGCCTCGACTGCGCCATTTGCTTGGGGCCTATATGGAGAAGAGTGTTGATGTTGAATTCCGTACTTTTGAAGTAGATCTTCACATTCTGCTTGAAAGTGAGCTCCATTGTCACTTATCATTTCACGTGGGACTCCATATCTACATATGATGTTTCTTTCGATAAAGAGCGCTACATGTTTTGGTGTGATTTTTACGTAAGACGCTGCTTCAACCCATTTGGTGAAGTAATCAATTGCGACAAGGATGTATTTATGACCTCCTATTCTAGGGGGAGTAATCATTTTAATAATATCTATTCCATGTTGAGAATGTCCATGGAGATGTATATGTGTAGCGAAGAGACGGTGGAACGTGTTGCAAGTTAGCATATATTTGGCACTTTTCACATCTTTTCACATATTGATGGCAATCTCTTTGCATACTAGTCAAGTAATACCCTTGACGCATAATTTTCTAGACTAGCATTTTACCGTTCATGTGTGTTCCATATGCTCATTCGTGGATGATTCCCATCACTCTTTCAGCTTCATTCTTGTCTACACATAGGAGAACTCTGCCTCTAGGTACTCTTTTATGGAGTTCATCGTTTATGAGCACATATTGTGAGGTTATGAGCCTTAAGGCTCGCTTTGCTCTTTTGTCAGCATTAGGTGGATATTCCTCTTTCGTGACATAATTGAGGATGTCTGTATACCATGATTCTTCTTCTTCTTCCTGAATTACTTCGTCATCCTCAATGAATTGAATGTAAGCAGGTTTATGCCATTTCTCTATAGTTAAAGGCATTTGTTCAATTTCCTTAGGAATTCTAACCGTTGAGGCTAGTCATGCCAAGGCATCAGCAAATTGGTTCTCTTCTCTTAGTAGATATGTGTATTCTACCTTTTTGAGTTGGTCGGTGAGGGTCTCTGAATAAGTTTGGTATGGAGCTAGACTTTCACTCCTCACCTTCCATCTTTTGGAAATCTGGTAAATTATAAGGGATGAATCCCCAAATATTCAGAGTGTCTTCACTCCTAATGCCAAGGTTGTTTCGAGGCCTACCACACATGCTTCGTATTCTACAGCGTTGTTGGTAATGTCGAAGTCAAGTCTGATCGAGATTTAGACATGTTCTTCCTTAGGTGATACTAATAAGACTCCTAAACCACACCCTTTCTGATTGGATGCGCTGTCAAAGTATAATGTCCAAGTATCATCCTTAGTGACCATTAATTCTTCGTCTGGGAAATTGTCCCCTTGTGTAGATGTTGAATCCTCAATTAGAAAGTCTGCTAAGAAATCCGAGACCACAGATTCTTTGATGGCTTTTTGGGGCATAAATCTTAGGTCGAATTGATGATGCGGAATCTAAGGTTAGGTTGTGTGTTTCGGGTTATGGGTTAAGTGTTTAGGCTAAGTGTTTACGTGGAAACAGGGTAAGGAACAGGAACTAGTTCCTGAGAGTGAGTAACTCTAAGTTTGACTAGCAAGGAGCACTCGCAATACTAATCAAGGATAGGTATGGTTAGAGCTGAACACTCACTCTACTAACCATAAGACAAGCTAACCCCGAACACTCCGAGTTAAGCTTACAAAATCGAGTCCACGAGTTCAAGTAACTTGAATCCACAAGTTAAAATAAGAAATAACACAAGGTATATTCCAAAGTTAAATATTTCATTCATAATAGTCTCATTACAAAAGCTAGACTAGACTTCCTTTTATAGACTAATTAAGGAAGTAGTTACATTAATTAACTGACTTAGCTAATTTAATAAAAGGAACTTAAAAGTCGTCAGCAAAAGGTAACTCAACAGTCGCCACAATGAGCAGTCCCTTAATGTAACAGTTCCATGCAAAACACCATACATTAAAGACTAATAATTGCTGCTGTTCCTGAACGAGTTCCTTAATTAGTTCCTTGGGGAACTTGCTGTAGATGCGCCCAGCATTCTTCCTTGTAACGGCTAACAGTTACGACTTTTATTACAGCAACTTAAGCGAAGCTAATTACTACTATAAATTGAAAATAAAACATACAAATAAGTAGTAATAAAAAGCAATTAAACTAAGGAGGTTATACTCCATGAATGGCGCCCAAACAAGTGAATAAAAACCAACTTGAATGCTTACTTAACGTGTGTAACCCCCTCTTTATTTCCCTTGTCTTGGCTGCCTTCAAATCAGAAAGGAACAAGGAATATTCCTCCCCCAATTCTCATGAAAATATCTAAGGCATCCAATGCAAATTAATGCCATGCTTACTCATCCATCCAAGTCACGCATGACTTGTACAAAGACGAGGATATGTCAAAACCCATGCGTGGAACATGGTCAAGTTTGGACCCTTGAATGAATAGCCATGGGCAATAGGAACTTGATTCTTTTGGATCCTTGAACGTGTGTTTAGACCACTTGGACCACTTGACTCATTGGCTTGCACAAACTCTTGATCAAGGACCAGTTCTGGATCATTCCCCCCTTCCTCAAAGAAGCTTGCCCTCAAGCTTTCATCATCCAAGTATGGAGCAAGGTCACCCACATTAAAAGTTGAGCTCACATCACCATAGTCACTAGGTAGCTCAATTTTACAGGCACTTTCACCAACCTTTTGAAGCACACGAAAAGGACTATCTGACCTAGGCATCAATTTGTTTTTGCATAGGTTAGGAAAGCGTTCCTTTCGAAGATCTAACCAAACCATGTCACCTACATTGAACCGTGGTTGAGAATGGTTCTTGTTGGCTTTGGCCTTGTACTTCTCATTCATAACCTTGATCCTTTCATGAACTTGCTTACCAGTTTGTTTAAATTCCTCCCATCGTTTCTTAGCATCACCATGGATTAGCTCGGATTTAGGTAAAGGAACGAGTTCCGCGGGTAACAATGGGTTCACACCATAAACGACTTCAAATGGACTTTGACTTGTAGTATAGGAAGGAGACCTATTATAGGTGAACTCAGAATGAGCCAACCTCAAGTCCCAATCCTTTTGAGTCTTGTTTACAAGTCCACGTAACAACACACCCAAGGTTCGATTAGTGACCTCGGTTTTCCCATCCGTTTGAGGATGGTGCGAAGTACTAAACAAAAGTTTAGTTCCCATGAGCTTCCATAGCATCCTGCAGAAAATGTCTAAGGAATTTAGTGTCACGATCCGAAACAATGGACCTTGGCACACCATGTAAACGAACCACCTCTTGAAAGTACAAATTTGCAACTTTTGATGCATCATTGGTCTTGTGACATGGAATGAAATGTGCCATTTTTGAGAAACGGTCAACAACAACCATGATACTATCATTACCTCTTTGAGTTCTAGGAAAACCCACAACAAAGTCCATGCTTACGGCTTCCCAAGGGACATTAGGAACCAGTAGAGGAACATAGAGACCTTTGTGAAAGGTACTCTTGGACTTTTGACAAGTTGCGCACCTCTCCACCACTTGGCTCACGTCTCTAGTCATGTGAGGCCAATAGAAATTTTCTTAAAGGATGTCTACTATCTTGTAGACTCCAAAGTGACCAGCTATGCCGCCACTATGCACCTCACGAATCAATAGTTCACGAACTCCGCACTTAGGCACACATAGTTTGTTGCCTTTGAAGAGGAACCCTTCCTGCTTCATAAAATCTTTTACAGGATTGTTAAACAGGTTAGAAAAATCATCATCATCACAATACAAACTCTTCAAATGTTCAAAACCCAAAATTTGAGTTTGAACCATGGTCAACTAGAAGTTCCTTCTTGACAAAGCATCGGCCACCACATTCTTCTTCCCTTCCTTGTACCTCGAACTGAATGTGAAGGATTGTAAAAACTCGACCCACATGGCATGACGTAGTTAAGTTTTTGTTGGCCATTGATGAAATTTAGAGCTTCATGGTCAGAATGTAATACAAAAGGCTTAGGCCTCAAATAATGGGACCAATGATCAAGGGCACGCCCACAATAGCGTAGAATTCACGATCATAGGTAGAATAGTTCAATTTGCACCATTCAATTTCTCACTAAACTAAGAAATTGGCCTTTTGTCTTGCACCAACACGGCACCAATACCTACTCCACTAGCATCGCATTCAACTTCAAAAAGTTTATCGAAATCAGGCAAAGCTAAAATAGGAGCCGAACATAGTTTAGCCTTGATCTCTTCAAATGCTCGTTGGGCCGAATCATTCCACTTGAACACCTTTTCCTTCAATAATTTTGTCAAGGGGGAAATGATTGTAAAGAATCCTTTGATGAAGACTCTATAGAAAGAAGCCAATCCATGAAAGCTACGCACTTCATGGAGATTGCGTGGCACTTCCCATGTAGCAATGGCCTTCACCTTGCTTGGATCAACTTGTATTCCTTCACTAGAAACAATGTATCCTAGGAAAGTAATACTAGTACATACAAAATCACATTTCTTTACTTTACCATACAATTTATGTTTACGCAATGCTTCAAACAATAATCTAAGATGAGTTACATGTGCATTCTCATTCTTGCTATTTACTAAAATATCATCTAAGTATACAACAATGAATTTGTTAAGAAATGGACGGAGTACCTCATTCATCAATCTCATGAAAGAACTAGGTGCATTGTATAAGCCAAATGGCATGACTAACCATTCGTATAGGCCTTGTTTGATCTTGAAGGCCGTTTTCCATTCATCACCTTCACGGATCCTGATTTGATGATACCCACTACGAAGGTCAATTTTTCTAAACACCTTTGACCCACATAGTTCATCAAGCATATCTTGTAATCTAGGCATGGGGAATCTATATTTGATAGTAATATTGTAATGGCACGACTATCAATACACATTCTCCACGTACCTTCCTTCTTTGGCACTAACAATGCCGAAACCGCACAAGGACTAAGACTCTCACGCACAAAGCCTTTGTCCATCAATTCCTCCACTTGCCTTTGCAACTCCTTTGCTTGCTCAGGATTGCAATGATAGGCTGGCTTGTTTAGTAATGCCGCACCTGGCACCAAATCAATAGCATGCTCAATGCCTCAAATTGGAGGTAATTCGTTAGGCAACTCATCGGGAAAAACATCTTGAAATTCCTCCAATAATGGACGAATAATAAGTGGGTAGTTCCCTTCAACCAACTTCTCCGAAATTGGTTTGACTACCAAGACAAACACCAATCCTTCTTTCTCATGAATATCTTCAAACTCGTGTTTAGAAATGAGGAAGTTGGGTTTTTCTTCTTGCATCTTCTCTACCTTAGGTGGTAAAGGTAGTAGTTTCACTTTCTTTCCCCCACTAGTTTTGATTGTATACCATTGGTTACACCATCATGTATTGCCTTACGATCAAATTGCCATGGACGGCCAAAAAGTATTTGGCATGCCGTCATAGGTAACACATCACACCAACGTTCATCACAAAAATTTCCCACGGAAAAAGCTACTAAAGCTTGCTTTCTCACACGCACACCAGAATCATTGTCAAGCCAATTGAGTTTGTATGGCTTGACATGATCTCTAGTAGGAAGCTTGAGTTTGTTTACTAACTCCGAAGCAACCACATCCGTACATGACCCACCATCAATGATCATGCTACAAATGCGATCTTTCACCTTACAACGGGTGTTAAACAGAGTTTCCCGTTGTCGCATATCTTGTACTGGTTTAGTGTACAAGATCCTTCTTACTACAACACAAAAGGAATTTTCACCTTCTTCAGCAGCATACTCTTCACACTCACTATCTTTTTCCTCTTCTTCTTCCGTCACATAACCACCTTCATGAATGGTCAAGGTGTTGCGTTTAGGACAATGAGTAGCAATATGCCCCTTTTTCCCACACTTGAAACAAGTGTGTCCTACAAGTTCACCCTTCTCATCTACCTTGTTCTCGGGTTTCTTAGGGAACACAAAAGTTTTCCCTTTATCAAACTTGTTTGTAGAGGTATAGGACTTGTAAGGAGTACGGGGTGTACCCTTAACACTGTGTTCCTTGTGTTGCGCCTCTACCTTGCGTGTTGCCTTCACTACATCATCATAGGTGGTATATGGCAAGAGGTCCACCTTGTTGGCTATGTTCTTGGCAAGGCCCCTTGTGAAACGAGCAATTTTCAATGGTTTTTGTTCTTCTAAGTCACACAAAAGACTCAGTCTTTCAAACACCTTCACGTATTCATCTACGGTCAAATCACCTTGGTTAAGGCGAGTGAGTTTGACATATTGATCTTGCACGTATTCCCGAGGAATCCAACGTTGCACCATTTTTCTTTTCAAGGTTGCCCAAGAACTAATTTTCTCCTTTCCAACATGTCTCCTCGTGGATTTGAGGTTTTCATACCACAATCCAGCTAACTTGGTGAGCTTGAGTGTTGCCAATTTACAACACTTCTCATCATCATATTCTTTGTATTCTAAGATTGACTCAATCCTTCGAACCCTATCATTGAAAACTTCAGGGTCACTAGAACCATCAAATTAAGGGATGTCTTGTTTCAGGAACCAATCCTCCTGATTAGGGTGGAAACGATTATGCTCACTTTTGGGTATTGGTTCACCATCTTACAACTCGGACACTTTACAACTGAGTTGATTGGTGGTGTCACCTATCATGCTCATTTGAGTACGTACATCACGTAACTCCTCCTGCATGGTTTACATTGCAGTCATAAGTCTCTGTTCCATCTCACGTAGGAACTCATTCAGGTTTTGGTTGGAATTAGTCATCGTCACACCTTTGCCTACACCGTGACTGAGACCGTGGCTTAACCGTTGCTTTGATACCAACTGATGCGGAATCTAAGGTTAGGTGGTGTGTTTCGGGTTATGGGTTAAGTGTTTAGGCTAAGTGTTTACGTGGGAACAGGGTAAGGAACAGGAACTAGTTCCTAAGGGTGAGGAACTCAAAGTTTGACTAGCAAGGAACACTCGCAATACTAATCAAGGATAGGTATGGTTAGAGTTGAACACTCACTCTGCTAACCATAAGACAAGCTAACCCCGAACACTCCGAGTTAAGCTTACAAAATCGAGTCCATGAGTTCAAGTAACTTGAATCCACAAGTTAAAATAAGAAATAACATAAGGTATATTCCAAAGTTAAATATTTCATTCATAATAGTCTGATTACAAAAGCTAGACTAGACTTCCTTTTATAGACTAATTAAGGAAGTAGTTACATTAATTAACTGACTTAGCTAATTTAATAAAAGGAACTTAAAAGTCGCAAGCAAAAGGGAACTTAACAGTCGCCACAATGAGCAGTCCCTCAATGTAACAGTTCAATGCAAAACGCCATACATTGAAGACTAATAATTGCTGCTTTTCCTGAACGAGTTCCTTAATCAGTTCCTTGGGGAACTTGCTGTAGATGCGCCCAGCTTTCTTCCTTGTAACGGCTGACAGTTACGACTTTTATTATAGAAACTTAAGCTAAGCTAATTACTACTATAAACAGAAAATAAAACATACAAATAAGTAGTAATAAAAAGTAATTAAACTAAGGAGGTTATGCTCCATGAATGCGCCCAAACAAGTGAATAAAAACCCACTTGAATGCTTACTTAACGTGTGTAACCCCCTCTTTATTTCCCTTGTCTTGGCTGCCTTCAAATAAAAAAGGAACAAGGAATATTCCTCCCCCAATGCTCATGAAAATATCTAAGGCATCCAAGGCAAATTAATTCCATGCTTACTCATCCATCCAAGTCACGCAAGACTTGTACAAAGACAAGGATATGTCAAAACCCATGCGTGGAATATGGTCAAGTTTGGACCCTTGAATGAACAGCCCATGGACAATAGGAACTTAAGTCTTTTGGACCCTTGAACGTGTGTTTGGACCACTAGGACCACTTGACTCATTGGCTTGCACAAACTCTTGGTCAAGGACCAGTTCCGGATCAATTGAGCTAAGTTTACTATCCATCTGGATATTCTTCCATTGAGTGTGGATTTCTCAAAGAGATACTTAAGGGGATCCATTCGAGATACCACATAGACTGTATGAACGAGAATATAGTGCCTTAACTTGGTTGTGGCCCACACAAGTACGAGGCATAACTTTTCAAGTGGTGTATAGTGAATTTCGTACTCGAGCATCCACTAGTAGAAAAAATGAAATAGGCACCGCACAATCTGCACCGGTTTTTGAAAACCGGTGCTAAAAAAAATTGGCGGGATTGGGAAATAGAGTTTTCGCACCGGTTCCTACCAAACTGATGCGAAATGATAGTTTTTGCACCGGTATGAACAGGTGCGAATTAAAAACAGAAAAAAAACCAAAAAAAAGGAATTGAACCGGTGCCCCTTTAATCTTATAAACCCCTAACCTACCCCCCCCCCCCTTTCTCTTTCATCCGCCTCTGTTTCTTTCATGCTCTCCTTCTCTCTCTGTTCTTCTCTTCTCTCTTATTTCTGTTCTTCTTCTATGATCTTTTAATCTTCTATATCATCTCTTTTCTGATCTCTCTCTTCTGTTCCTTCTTCTGATCTCTTGTTCATCTCTGGTTTTTTTTATTTCTCTCGTTTTTCTTACTCTTGTCAACAACCAACGACACCAAACATAACAACTGTCGTCGCCGCCATAGATAATCAATATTTGAGGTTAGGGTTTCTAGATTCTTTGAGGTTAGGGTTTCAGTTTTTAGGTTCTGGGTTTCTGGGTCATGGGTTTTTGTTGGTGTTTTCTCCGTTTTTTTGGGTTTATTGGTATCTGGGTTTTTAATGGTTTTTTTTTTTCATAGTTTCTGAGTTTTTTGGGTTCTTGGTTCGAAATTCCTGGGTTTTTTTCGGTTTTTTCTGGGTTTATTGGTTTCTAGGTTACGGTTGGTTTTTCTTGGTTTTTTATTGGTTTTTTTTTTGTTTTATTTTCTTTCAAAGTTTCTGGGTTCTGGGTTCGACATATCTTGTTTTTTTTGGGTTTTTCTAGGTTCGAAATTTTTGGTTTTTTCTGGTTTTGAAATTTCTAGGTTTTTGTGGGTTCGAATTTTCTGGGTTTTTCTGAGTTTGAAGTTTCTGGGTTGTGATTTTTGGTGTTTTAATTGATGTAAGTAGTATTCATTCAAAAATAATAATAATTACAACTGCAGCGATTTTACATAGAAGAAGGATTAAAGATTCAAGAATTTTGGTGTTTTTTCTTTTTCTTTTTTTTTTTAATAAATTGTAAAATAACAATTTATTTGATGAATATACATATATATATTCATGTATATTACGATTTTGATATTCATTGTTGTTCATTGGTGATTAATGTATATTACGATTCTAGTGTTTTTTTTTTTTTTTTGAGGGAAACATGTTTTGTTTCAGTGTATGCTGATTTTGAAGTGAAAAAATTACAATTTTTTATTTTTTTTTATATTCATTTTTGTTCATTGTTTCAGGTTAACCGGTGCCAATTGTAATGAAAACCAAAAGTGCCAATTGTAATGAAAACAAAACAAAAAAAAAAAAAAAATTGGCACTCACTTTTAGCACTGGTTAACCGGTGCAAAATCTCTTGGTTTTTGGCATCCCTCAAATCAGTTTCGGTTCAAATCGGTGCTAAATGGGAGTTTTGAACTGGTGCTGATTACCATTTTTCGCCTATTGATCTTTTTACTTAGGTAGTAGATGGAGTTTTCCTTTCCCTCTACTTCTTGTGCAAGCATAGCTCCCATTGTTCCCTTGGAGACTATTAAGTAAAGGCGAAGAGGAATGCCTACCAACGCTGGTGCTAATACAGGAGGATTTCCAAGGTAGGCTTTGATCTTATCAAAGGCTTCTTGGCATTCATCGTCCCATATTATTGGTACATTTTTCTTGAGTTTCGTGAAAATTGGTTCGCATATCGTGGTGAGCTTAGATATGAACCTGCTAATATACTGCAACTGGCCAATAAATCTATGAATTTGCTTCTCGGTCTTGGGCAGTGGCATTGACATGATTGCCTTGATTTTAGTAGGATCTATGTCTATTCCTCTAGAGCTAATGACATACCCTAAAAGTTTTACCGAGGTGATTCCAAATGCACACTTGGTAGGATTCAGCGTCATGTTGTATTTTCGAAGCCTTTCGCAGAATTTTCTTAAGGCTGTTTGGCGTCCGAGGCGATCCTTTGATTTTATAATCATGTTGTCTACATAGACTTTGACCTCTTTGTGCATCATGTCATGAAGTAAGGCAGTTGTTACTCTTTGGTACGTGGCACCCGCGTTTTTCAACCTGAATGGCATTACCATATAGCATTAAGTGCCCCACGGTGTTATAAAAGTTGTTTTCTCCATGTCTTCTTTTGCCATAAGGATTTGATTGTAACTCGCGTACCCGTCCATAAACGAGAGAACTGCATGATTGGCTGTATTATCTACTAAGATATCGATGTGTGGTAAAGGGAAATCGTCCTTTAGACTTGCTTTATTGACATCTCTATAGTCGACACACATTCTTACTCTACCTTCTTCTTGGGAACTAGTACCGCATTGGCGACCCATTCAGCATACTTGGATACTTTCATAAAAGCTGCAGTTATTTGTTCTTGAACTTCTTCTTTTATTTTAAGAACTATGTCAGGTTTCATTCGACGCAACTTTTATTTTACAGGTTTCATTCCTGGAATTAGTGGTATAGTGTGTTGAGCAATTTCTCTATTTATCCCTGGCATATCCTCATATGACTAAGCGAAAACATCGATGAATTCTTTAAGTAGATTAATTAGTTGAGTTCTTTCCTCTTGATTAGAGTTAAGCTAATTTTAACTTCGCTTTTAATGGTAGGATCCATTGAGATGTTAACTATTTCTGTTTCTTCAATGACTGTTGTTTTATTCTCAAGTGTTTCCATTGCTTTAATTATTTCTTTGTCATTTTCATTGTTAGCAAAGCAATACTCGTCATCTTGGGTAAGGGAAAAGCACGAGGAGTAAGAGAAAGAAGACATATTATTGAATTCTTGAATCATTACATCAAAAAGAGAGAGGTCTGACGGGACCTGACTACTAATTGTTCTAGGAGTAGGTGCTAAACTAGGTGGGATAGAAAAAGGTGTAACTGCTAAGGATTTAGGAGACTTATTAATAGAAGATTCGGACTCTGACTCAGACTCGTCAAACATGGGTCCTTCTCCTGTGGTTATGGATATCTTCCTTCCATTTGGTGTAGTCACCTTCACGGTCTATCGTCATCCCTTGAGTAGTCCTTCTGCTGGGGTGATGAGCTTGGAGGGATCAAAGTTTTCACTTTGTAACACTGTTTGGATAAGCGCGGAGTTGTCGTCGACATGCTTAGGCTCATTCTTCTCATACCCAAAGAGGAGTCTCATGCATGACATTAAAGTCAAAGCACGGAGGTGCTCATTCCTTGTGAATAGGAGCTGGGATCTCGTCTAGGAAATTGCAATCTAAGAAGATTTCCAACCCTAGTTGTCGTATCCCATTCATGACATAGGTAATCTTCTGCCTCTTTTATGGATTGTCCATTTAGAGTGAGAGGGTAGTGATCCATTGGGATTGCTTTTTTCTGAGTGCGAGTTGTCTTTCGTTCATTAGACTTTTCCTAGGCTCGCTTAAGGTCCTCTAGAGTTGGTTTGAAACCAAGCCCAAAATTATCCATTTTAGGGAGGCCAGGTACTCCCATTTGTTTAGCTATCTCTTTCTTCTTTCCTAGAGTCATTCCAGGAAAATGTCCTTATCTTTTAAGGATAGCGTTAACTACAAGATTTGAATAGGGATTATTGTCAAGAGGGGTCTTTTCATCTTCCTCGATAAAAGAGACCTCTTCGGAGATAAAGCCCCATAAATCTTCATCATTCTCATCGTGTTGTACATTAATGATAGGTTTATCCACTGCTTTGATTCTCATAGGGGAAGCGTCGATCGTGACAGGAATTCCCCCAACTATAGCCTTGACTTGTTGATGGAAAGATGAAGGGACGGCCTTAAGGTCATGAAGCCAATGGCGTCCCAACAATAAGTTGAATGAAGCCTTGATGTCTACTACTTGAAAGATAGTGCTATGTTCAATGACTCCTGCAATGACATTCATGGTGATGGTTCCAAGAGCTTGGCGACGAGTATTGTCATAAGCCCTTATACCTTGTGTGGATGGAGATAAGTCTTCATCCTTTATTCCAAACATTCTTGCAATACAGAGTGGGCATACGTTAATTACCGAACCATTGTCTACAAGGGTCAGTGGTACATTTATTCTTTTGCAAACCACCGTGAGGTTTAAGGCTTTATTGTGTTTGTCACCTTTCGGGGGTAAATCCTTGTCAGAAAAGGTGACCAAGTTGATGGGACTAGGGAGGTCACTTGTAAGGAAGTTAGCTAACCCCTCTGGAGTAGTTTCAGAATCTATCCCTACTTTAGCTAGAGCATCCATTACTGCAACTCGGTGTTCACGAGATGAAGCTAAAAGATTCCAAACATTCATTTCAACCTTAGTCTTCTTGAGCTGCTTGACAATATCATTGTCCTCTATAAGAGGTGCTGGAATTTGTTGAGTGGTAGGGATAGGGTTGTTTGTGACTGGTGGTTGCACCCTTCCGGACCTTGTAAGTACGGTAATTGGGGATTCTTCTTCCTCATCCTAAATATCATCAACTAGGTAAAGTGTAGCAAGTGATGGCTCTTCCATATCTTTGAGGTAGATGTCCTCATCATCACTGTCCCAAACCCCATTAATACTGACATCTTTATCTAAAATATCCCTTCTTGTTGGGATAAGTTTTCCACTATCTATGAATCCTTGAATAAGATCTTTAAACTTGAAACAATTATCTATTGTATGCCCTCCAGATTGATGGTATTTGTAGTAAAACTGGTCTGTTCTTTTGAGGGATTCAAATGGTCTTGGCTCGAGAGGTTTGATTTTTTTCCCATTTCGAAGAGCATGTTGAACATCTTCTCATAAGGGACACCAATAGGTGTATAAACTTTGTTATTTCTTTTCATTGGTGGTGCAACTACGTTAGAAGTGAATGGTTTTCTCTCAACAGTGTTTAAGGAAGGAGTGTGGTTCTCTTTTTCAAGAGCGCACTCATTTTCAGCATTTTTTACTTTCATGCGAATAGCTTAAAGTTCAAGCCTTATCTCTTCTAATGTGTTGATAAGGGCACACACTTCTCCTCTAGTGACAGCCTGTTCACCAATAGTTAAGGGCGTAGCTTCTTCTTGAAAGTCGCTCATGGCATCAAAGAAAGTCTCCTCTTCCTCTTTAATGGCATGAACCTCTTCTATTGGCTTAATGAGGAGTGATGGATCCATAGCATCTTGTTCGTCAGAAATTGCTAAGGAATCCAAAGTGGAGAAGTGTTGATGCTTGGCTTCTTGCTAGCAGGAGGCACTGGGAGCTTGTTGTTATCAATTAGGTCTTGAATAGCTTTTTTTAATTTCCAGCAATTCTCAGTAGAGTGACCCCTACCATGGTGATACTTGCAATGTGCAATCGGATTCCAACTAGTTGTTCTCCTTTCGACTGGTGGATCTTGCATAGGTCCGATAGGAGTAATGAGTCCTTTGGCATGAAGACGGTCAAAAGCAGTATCATACCTCATCCCAATAGGAGTAAAGTCTCTCCTAAACTGCTTTTTTTGTCTTCATTATTCATGGCGAGGACATCATTTAAGTTAAAGGTGCTAACATTGTTACTAGAATGGGTGGCTTTAGAAGAAGAAGATTTTTAGTTCTTCTTTCCTTTCCAGCCATTATTGTTGCTATTGTTAGCAGCTTTCTGTTTTGCAAGATCATCTTCAATTTTAATGTCTATGTTATAGACAGCTTTGAAAGTGTTTAAATTGCATTGATATTTTAAATGCTTTTGATACTTGTCTTGGAGGTTCTTAATGAACAACCTTATAGATTCTTTCTCGCTTGGAACTTCGATCATTTTAGCGGAAGTTTCCCTCCACTTATTATAGAAAGCAGTAAATCCTTCACTTTCTTTCTGTTTAAGTATTTCAAGTTCCCTATGATTAGTTTATACTAGGATATTACATTTGTATCTATCAATAAAAGCATGTGTAATGGATTCCTAAGTAGTGATCTTCTCTTTGTCTATAGAGAAGAACCATTGCTAACATACTATTTCAAGAGAAAGTGGGATGAGTGAAGGGAAAACTCTCCTATCAATTCCCTTGATGTCCATGATTGTTTCAAAAGGTCTTAAGTGAAAGTAAGGATTGTCAGTTGGCTTGAACTTAGGGATGTCATTGGCAGAGAACTTTTGCGGAAGAAGTTCCTTATCCACTAAGACCCCTTTAGAGCCAATCCCATGGTACTTATAGTCATTAGACATTTAACTCAAGCTTTCTTCTATGCGCTTGATGGTCTCGACTAGTACTTGCTTGCTAGGATCATTAACCTGAGTACTGAGCCCCTTAAGCATCTCGGTGAGTCCATTGACAGTTTGCTTAAGTTGGTCAACTTCTTCTTGACTGGCCATTATTCTGAACTTTTTTCTGTGTCGAATCAGTTTATCGAAGAGTAGTACTTTAATGAAGGTGTTGTCTTTGATTAAATGCCCTTCTCTCCTTGACCAAGTGCTGTAAAATTAAACCGTTGACTTTTTTAATCACTTGACTCAAATTGACTTTTATTTTTATTGGGGTTGAAAAAGCAAAAAAACGGGTGCATATTTTGGGAATTTTATCAAATTTTAGGAACCACGGTTTATGTTGGGAGGATAATATCCGACTTACCCCCCTAAAAAATGACGGAAAAGCGCACACAAGACTCTAACATGGTCGTGACATATACAAATTGTGTGCATTGACTAGTGAGTGGAAGTGACGTGCATAAGACTCGTGTAATGACCATGAGACTATGTGACTAGACACAATCAAAAACAAAACTAAGACCTCGGTTATTAATGAAATTAATTAATCATGTGAATTAGACTCGACATAAAGACTCGGAAAGAAAGACCAAACCATCGCACAACGATGGAACTATCGCGTCGCGTCGGCTCAATCGGTTGCGCGATATTTCTATTGCGTGACGATGGGTGTTGATGCTTTGCGTCACAAGCCAAACTTACGCGCCAAGACTGGAACGTTA